TCCTCAATTTTTTTGCAACCTTAGACCACTGAACTTCTCCATTTTCTTTTCGACTCCACCTTCAACTTTCTATTCTTCATCCGAATGGGCAGCCAAAGGACAGCAACCAAAACCGGCGCTCGAATATGAGTTGTTAATGGTTATGGTCATAAACCGCGGTACTCAAGCACCTACTTATTGGCCCGGAAACCTTAGTGTTATAAAGCCTTAAAATACTTTCAGTACGAGAAGAGTTATCTCTTTGAAGAACCTCATCAGAAAGGCTTAAATAAGATTGCATGGAACGAACCACCTAATTTGCAACAATTGGTTAGTATTTTCTTGAATACCTCTAAATCGGCAATCGCCATCCTGGTAGTCTGTTTTTTCTACCGTAGTTGTAAAATTACTTCCTTCAATCTAGTCTCGGATGCTGTGAGAATACAACAGCCGCCTCTCAATACGCGCAAGCTACTCACAAAGTTGAGTAGTACATAATAACAAGGGGGAGTGTTTATTTTCACCTTCAAACACCTTTCAACTTGTGAGAAAACACAAAGTGGCGAACAAGCTGGCAACTTTGTGTTTTCTCACAATGAGTATGGATGGTATATTCAGACCTTTCAACTTTCCAATCTTTCTTTGACCTCTTCACTTCATTGAGCAGCCAAAAGATGGCAAACAAAATCACAGCATGAAAGTGTATGATTAATGATTGGACAAACGCAAACGGCAGCTTCTAGGCTGTCGCTTTTTAGGCTGGCCGAAACCCGTTTTGCGAAAATTGACTATGAAAGATAAAATTCTATAGAGGCAGTTTGTTCTCGGAACTTGCAAACCAAATGCCTGAATAAACGCTAGGAAGTATGCGACGTTTTTTTTAACAACTATGCAAAGAAGAAATAAAACTGTGTTTATCCGGCTTTAGCCGTGTGTCCAACTCCCTTGGTAACTTACCATTTAGTTTCAGGGTGGGCGCAGTGCATATTTCATTGGACTTTTGGGTTTATATTGTTTGCATTGTTTCTCTCTCGGAGATTTTCAGAGGACCATTTCCACGGAGAACCTCCTGTTCATCGACGCTGTCAGTCCAGATCACAATGGACTATCTTGCACTGGCGGGGGGGGACATTCTGCCGTACAATCTATTCTACGTATAGTAATAGTATATGCATTGTAGGTGAAAATATTAGTTCTTTTGTTTTACTTGTGAGGTTCCCTGTTCGATTTTTAATTAGTTTGATGGTTTCACACTGCTGATGAGACCGTACCAGGTGGAAACAACTGTTCAGTGCTTCCCAGCTTTGCGACTCACGGCGAATTCATCAGATAATCTAATCAAATCCTCTCATACAACAAATAGTCCGGTTATAAAATTTTCCGGCCGAACAGTTTTCGAAACGGACCGAGGGATATTATTCAAAGCTGACTAGATACGAAGACACGGGGTCATCTCTTAGCAAATGCATTTTTTATTTCTCCCTTCCACTTCCAAGTTTTGGTGGATACATTTTCGGGAAGCACTTGTTATTACT